ATCACTCAGCCCCAATAATTAACAAATAAATTTCAGTGTTGTTATTACAATATAAGTTTGAGAAAATTCTAAAATATTTAATATTTATTTGGATGTTAAGTGACAAATATGCTATTATACTGTTGTTGAATGATAAGTTAGGTTTTCTGAAAAATTAAGACATAAAAATGCATGCTAAAACTTTTATTTGTATTTCAGGCAAAATATACATAACAAAGCTATTCTTAAAAACTAAAAGTGTATATTAAATATTTATAAAAATTTGATTTTTCTTGATTTTTTTGGCTGCAAATGTTTTAATTATTTCTTCAAATGAGATTGATGATGCTCTTTGATGTTCAATTGATATTATACTTAAATTGTTTAATCTTTGTTGTTTCATAGTGTTCCTTAAATAATTTTTTATAAGTTTCAGTTTACTGAAGCTTCTTTCCGCCGAAGCAACAGAGACTGAAATTGTTAGAAATATTTGTAGGGCTATCGTAATATTTGGGTAGATCTCTTCTAGATGTTGCTCATAAATAACTTTAAAAGTAGACTGCGTTGTCGCATTTCTCAGACTTTTGTCAATTTCAAAGGCATGGAATTTAAAACTTTCTATTTCACTAACAAGCTCTTCTTTATTTAGATCATCCGGGTAACTGTCAGCTAATGTTTTAGCTCTAACTTGTAAAGTTGTAGAATCTATTTCGTTTATTTGAGAACCACTCAAAAAACCAAATTTACTATTAACATCTTTCAATGCATCAAATCTGCATTTTTTGATTCCAAATATTTCAAAATCGAAAATACGATATTTCAATTATTGAACCTTAAAAACGCTCTACTGAACAATTTAGATATTGTCACATAGAACTCTTTGATTCCAAGCCCACGATATGTAACTATATAAACGGTTGGTTTAACGCATGGCTCAAGCCACGTTTTACAACACACTTACGAATTTTTTTTACCGTAAATAAATTTTAATTATTAAAAATTTTCTTACCGTATTTACAACTCTAAGATGTTGAATATGTAGACACTTTGTACACTTTCACGTTACACGTCAGTCGTCGAATCACGAATCATAAAAATAAATGATTATAGTGTGATCGCGCTAGTACATTAAAAATATAAAATGATAATCAAAACTCATGAACATAGATCTATGTTCACAAACAACCGCACGATCAAAGATAACATTAATGTACTAATTTTTCCCAGAATACGACGATAGCTGCAAAACTTCCGATAACATTATATTATTACCTATACTACAGAATAAATGAATTACAGTGACACATATATTAATTGTATTGTTATTTTGCCATATCAAAAATTGCGGCTTGCGGATACCCGACGTCGACCGTCGTTATTGTGGTATAAATAAGTCGGCGGTACGCGCGTATAATTATCGTAGCATTTCAAAGTGTTAGAAAAAAAAAATGTTTTTATATTTTGCCGCCCCTAAAAATTTGCCGCCCGGGGCAAAAGACCCCCCTAGCCCCCCCTTAGCTGCGGCCCTGCTTATGACTCAACGATTTTAGAAATATTCTATATGTAAAATGAATGAAAATATTTACGTCTTTATTGTATAATCCTCAGATATTATAAAAATTATAATCAATTAATAATTTAATATTCATAATTTTATCAATGTGTGTTCGTGGTGCATTTTCAAAATTTGCCTTACAGAAGCTGCAAAAATTATTATAAAATATTATGGGAACTACTAAGAGAATTTATAATTTGCATCATATCAAAGTGTTGTGTAAGTGTTATAATTATAACGTTTAACATGTTTTGGGGGCGCAATTTTGTTTTAAGCAAACAGAGTCCCCCTTTTTTAATTTTGCCAAATCAAGCATTGTACACAGATATCTATCTATATTATCTGATGATATATTTGTGTATAACACAGGCCTTCGATGTAGATAATCTATATTGTGGGCGTAGGCAAAGCTAGTATTATTTAGTTATAAGATTTGTTTGCGAGAATAATTGTACATGACAAAATTTTATAACAAACAGAATACATATGTGATAACGTAAAAATATATCAGATTTTTAGTTTTTATACGTATGAGATCGCCGTTTTACTTTGTATTAATAATTCAGTTATAAATGATTGATAAATTGATTTATATAACAGCTGTTTACTCACAAATGGCAGTAGAAATAACAAAAAGTGGAATCTTGAACTTGGACAAATCATCGCATCTTATCATGAAACCAAGAACTATGAAAATTACCTGTTTAATGAAAATGCTGATCTGCATCTTATCTATTTGGTATTATCATAAAACACTCGTTAAATAAACTCTTGAACGATTTTATATTAAAAAGTGTTCCATCATGCTTGAGAATCAAAAATTAATTGCAAACACTGTGTTTAGTTACAATGCTAAACTGGACTACAAAATATAGTTTACCTTACTACATCTGTACAGTACAACATAAGTACAGATTATACCAAATGTCTCTAACATATATTATGAATCTAAGTTTAACCTTATTAATTATGATGGTCTTGAAATCTTGATGATTCCAATATTAATAATTAATCATAAATAAAATATTTCATATTTTTAGGTGACATACAGCTTACATGTGCGATACAAAGCCTTATTGTCAAATTATTTACATTGTTCATTGCAATATTTATTGTAAAACATATTAAATTTATTATCTTATTTAATATAATATGCTGGACTCAAATTATATTAGTTTTTATTGCTACATAAATATTATTATTATGTTGAGTATTGTTCATTGCTGATATATATTTGTGATTCAATTACTCAGACGTTTGGAAGTTTTTTATAAAAACAAAATTATTGAATAGTACATTTTAGGTACTTACATGTAAATTATTATTTTATTTATTGTTTAAGAAGCTCTTTTTGTTCTGAACTGTTAAATTTATAAACGTTTTAAAATCGAATAAATAAAATAGCAAAAATAATTTTATCGTGAACAAAAAAAGTATTGAAATTTTAAAATAATTTTTTTTCATATTTGAAAAAAAAAATCCAAAGAATACCAACTATAGGTAAATAAATAATAAATATACTCAATATACCATATGACTACTTTGAGATTTTTAATGCTGATTGTTCTCGTATCTTATTCAGTTCACTGGTTGGACTACCAGCTGGTGGTGTTGCAAGTGTCAAAAAGATTCCCAGGTTTGATTTCTGAATGCTCATATTTTCTTAGTGGGAAGAGTAACCTTTGTATTACTAATAAAATATTCTTATTATTATTTAAAAAATAATTTGGTAATTAGATATAATAATAACCTTTAGAAAAAATTAATAAATTACTTACAGTTAAAATTAATTAATTCACCACTTTTATGAATTTAAATTTTAATTGAAAAATATTTGTTACATAATTTTAGAAAAAATTACAAAAAGTTCATATTCAAAAATGAATAAAATGATAATTTTATTTACATAAAATTTATTACATTTTATTTTCTCATATACATTATTAATTATTCATAAATTTAATTACCTATTCAATATACCATTATTGGACAGGAGAAAATTTCAAATATTGATCCCTTTAAATAATGATGGACTGCCAAGAGAGAATGATTTATCCAATTTTAAATGAAGAAAATAATTTCCTTAACTAAAGTAGATAATATGTTTAATATATAATATTTATCGACTTTAATTATCAGTGTAGTGTTATAATTATATTGAAAATATTTAATATTAAGAAACTAGATTTATTACTTATTTTGTTCACATATACATTAGTGTGAAATATTTTTAAGCATTGACAAAAATTAACAAATTTTTTGTAGTAGACACTATTTTGAATTAAAAATAAAAATATATTCTAAATATTTTGTAGCATTACAGTAGTTTTTTGTAATTTAGCTTAATGAATAATAGCTTTACAATTGTATGAATTAAATTTAATTGAAGGGAAAGATATTTGTAAGAGTTACTTATATAAATGTACTTGGTTTATATTTATATTTAATAATATAATATTATTATATATATATTATATAATCATAAATATAAATTAAGTATGATTAATTAGTAAAGCATTGTATTAAGCAATATAATACAAAAAAACTAAAGTAAAATTAATAAACAATAGATTACCACACACTAAGTATAGTTTTTTCAATTGTATTAATTACCAAATATTAATACAACAATTTTTTCTTATATTTAATTATGATTACATATTTCAATAAAATAAACATACAGTACAATAAGACTTATTTATAATAACATCATTAAAACTGGCTGGAATGAGGATAGTTAATTAAATAAAAATGCCATTATACTTTAAGTAACCAGATAATTTACAAATTTGAGGATTTGAAAAAAAGTATTATTTCACAATCATAGAAACAAATTTTGTATTTTTAACAATGGAAAATGTTGTAAGGTCTTAATTTTAAAACTAGTCTTTAATTACATTTTAAATTATACATAAATGTTTAGTATAAAATATATTATTTTCTGAAAAGATAATTTTATCAAATTTTTATTTTAGAGTTTTTTGATTAATATTCGAGTAGATTTTGAGTAGACTAATAAATACTGTACTTTTTATTATTTTATACCTAAAACTTCTTCAACTTAATAGTTCATTCAAAACCAATTTTGGGCCTTCCATGGTTTATTTTATTATTTATTTTGTTGATTAATACATTTTTAATTAAGTGGTCATCTACTCTATACAACTAAGTACTATAAATAATTTATAATAAAAATAGAATTGTTTTAAACATTAAATATTAAATTTTGTTAGTAATTTTAAACAATTCTTAAGTTTAAACCAGATTTTAAAGTTAAAAATTGAAAATTAAAATCTGATTTTTAAGCTATAATTTTTAATTATCTACTAATAAAATATGCATAATATTTTCATTCAAAATTTTGCCAAATAGTTACCATTTAACATGATAAGAATAGACAATTTTTTTTTAAACAATACCTCACATTAAAATTAAAATTATTAACATAAATAGTTTTTAAAATCCCTTAAAATTTTATATAAATATTTAAACTTAGACATAAAATATAACTACCATTAAAAGAATAAGTGACCAAATTAAGTAAAATTAGTTATTAACGCTGTAACGCTAATCTTATATCTTCTCTAAGAAAGAAAGGGAGTGGATTGTCATAATCAATACATTTATAATCACATTTGAAATACTCCCAGTTCACCATCTCAGTTTGCATAAAACATTTTGTTTTAACAAAGCTAAGTTGGTAACGGCCGCCACCATCAGTTATCATCAATTTATGACAAGCCGCACAACGATAAAGGTTATCAAAACATCTAAGTATAGATAGGCTCAGATCTTGTCTCCTAAAATGTACATTTTTATCAATTAAAGAAAAAAGTGCAAGATGACTTAAACTTGGTAATTTCTTAAAATTAGAAGTGTCTTTCGGTTTTTTATTTGCCATCATTTTTGCAACAACTATGCGATTAAATTCATCAAAATCATTATTTTTGCAGCTGAAATAATCAAATGTTCTAGTTTGTAAAGATTCCGGTAAAAATGGTACTTTGTTGTTATTGAAAAACAAGCAACGCAGTTTCTTGAGTTCACCAGTAAATCGTGGAATACATGTCTGAAAAAAAATAATGATTTTTTTTTATTAAAATAATGTTTTTGGAAAATAATTCATTTTTATTACTTTAATCATTTAAATTATTACATTACAATTTAATACCAAGTAAATTTAATAGGTATATTTATTTTAAACATATATTTATAAAATTTACATATTTCAAAAATTCATAGCATTTTTATAGTAGAAAATGTTTATACTATAATGTTCTAAAAAAAGCATAATATAAAATAATAAAAAATAAATAAAATATTCATTATCCACTATATGTAAGTATAATTAAATATTATATACTCAAAAATACAAACAAATCAGATTAAATTGAATGGTATTAATAAAAAAATAAAATCAAAAAATAAATAGAAAATAAATTTAAAAAATGTATTTACTATCATTACTTTGGCTTACATTAAAGATAAATAACTTATAATACCAACAAATTTTAATTTGTTGTTGATATTCCTGCAAAATTATTGGAAAATTTAATTGCATTGAATTATAAAATTATTTAAAACTTGATCCAAAAATTTTATCTAAAGCCATGGCAAAAAAAGCTGGATAAATGTCTCCATTCCTAGTCAATCGGAATGCCGAATCATCAATAATCCGAAATAAAAGTAAAGTTTACATAACAAATTTTATCATAAAATTGTGTGATTCATATTCTTATTATCTTAAAATAATAATAATACAGTTACATAAAAATTATTCTTTTTATATTAACATTACTATGTAATTAATAAATAATAATATTTAAGAAATATTGATAGTTATATTGAGCACCTGAGAAAATCAAAAAAATGTTTAAATTTTTACTGAATAATAAACTATATTTTCTAATAAATATACAATACAGTTATAATATTCATGTAAGAAAAACTCAGAGGGACTAGTAACATTTAGATTATTGATTTTTTATTGTATCTATATATATTTGAACTAGGATTTGAGCCCAATCATATGAAAAATTTTAGAGATACATATATTCATATGAGTACCTATTTGACAATGGATACAATTGGGAGGAATGAGAATAGTTAGGTACTTCAAGAAACCAATTTATTGTAAATATCCCAGAGTATACTAGGCACTAGATAAAATTAAATCATATGGCAACTAAGATGTGCATCATACTAGTGGAGGGAATTAGTATTATTATCCTATCTCATATTGAAAGTAGTATACACATAATAGAACTTACCAGTTTATTATCGGACACAGATAGAACAGTTAGATTTTTCAAAAAAATGATTTCAAACGGCAACTTCTCCAAATTATTAGAGTTCATTTCTAAAACCTCTAAGGTTTTACATATTGTAGGTTTTGTCATCCAATCCCAAAATGTTTCAGGTTCATAATTAGACAATCCCAGATTACTACCCGAAAGACTTATGTAAGAAACAGGGGTATGACCAAAGTCTGCAGGCACAGATGACAAATCAACACCTTCCAAAATGACAGTACTCAAACATCCAATATTCATATTGTTCCTGTTGAAACGTGAAATGCTTGTAAATTCAGCCAAATTTGGGTCGAATGCATCATCCATCTTGAGAGAGTCATAGATGAGGTACATGCATGTTAAGAAGGGATGAAGAAACCATTCAAGGAACAGGACACGTTGCCTTAAACATGATGTATGCATGACAATCATGTGTCTAGGCTCCGTAAAACGTATCGCCAAAAATCCATTGAGCAACAATTCACCGTAAAAGCCATCAATATTCTTCAACTTGTACTTGACGCGATTAGTACTGCGAAGCGCACAGTTCACCAAGAACACGACATCGTCACCATCTTCTTTGTTCAACACTACGATCGAGTTCATAGGATAATGGAGACATTCTCCCGTAACTAGATCTTTGGTGATGGCAAAAGTCATTCCGCGGTAACCGTTTTCAGGTTGAAGATTAGTAGGAGCTACTATTTCGGTCATGACCAAATGTGCGGTTTACTTGAAGCAACGAAAACACCACGATCCGGTAAACCGTTAAACGTACGACTGCGATGTACAAATGACAAAAGCGACACAAAACGGTTTGTAGTGAAACGACTTAGGACGGAATAGGTCTCGGTAGTGGTACAGCGGAGTACTGAAGAAATTACTGCAAACTAGCGAGGTTGAACATGAATCGGTGTTTGACGAATGCGCACGACTGACCACTTTTCACGTATACGATCGCGTATCACCCGGGAACCGCTCGGTTGAGGTCTCGTCGGTTCGATAACGCGGCGGTTGTTATCAATACCGTTTTCGAGTACGCCGACAGCCTGGGAATCCGCACGTCGACCAGACACGTCCAAACGAATCAATAAATATTCTCCGAACACTTACGGATTGCGCAATGCGATTCGCACGGGCCGTCGACAATACCCGATGACAATCGATAACTTTTCGCCCGAACGAGAACGTTCAACAACAACCGATGCGAAAGGCGTGACGGGCCGCCATCTGTCGGACAACTGGCTGCACGTGAAAGGTGGCGAAACGTCAGACGGTGGAAGTTCGGGGGAACGGTGTGGTGTTCGAAGCGTCGTCTTCTCCGTTCCGAGTGCACCTGCCTCTATTCTCACGACCACCCCTCGCGAACCACCCCGTCACCCTTGCCGCGGGCAACCGATTTTTTCCGCTGTTGTGAGCGCGAGCGGACGCTTTCACCGGGCCTTCGGCATCTGCGCGTACATTCCTCCACTCTGCGCCGTACAGCTGCGCAAACACATCGCCCCGTACTCCCGCGCCGGCTCGTAACAATGGACCCTGTTTCTATGGCACCAGCGGTTGACCTCGGCTGCGCCGACCGACAGCGTTATGGGCTCGCCGTACGCAGCGTACCACGTAGTGTTCGTGGTGGTTGTTTTACGATAGTTGTTTTGTACAATAATTTCACCCGAAACGTCAATAGAATCGCGCCCGAGCAACAGCGCAATACCAACCTCCCGCATCCAGATTCCCTGTATTTCGTCTGTTCCGTATCGGCTATTAACAATTGTTTCACTAAAAATATTACGAATGATAATTATTAATAAAAAGACTAATAATTTTAATGAAATCTTTGAGAAATATTTATTTTTGCCAAGAAAAATGATTTATCAAACTTTAAATTGTCTTTAATTAAAAGAATAATAATATTTTACAGACCATTTAATCTGTATAAAAAGCATTATAAGAGATAATTTTATCTCTAATTATATAGCTAAGCACTAGAGGCAGTAGAATTATAAATCTTCGTGTAGTGGGGTATCTCACTACAATTAGACAATTAATGAGTAAATAGTTAAAATTGTTAAATATTATTTATAGTCACAATATTTATCAATTGAAATATGTTTTAATAAAAATAGGTATACATGAATAAGATTATGTATCCGAAGTAGTTCTTAGTTAAATTATACAAAAATATTGCTATTAAAAATAAATATGTTTTAACATTTTGTATAATATTTACAGATTCATTCGAGTAAACTGATTTCAGGATATCTCTGAAACTATTGAGTACAATTAATTGGATAATAATACGCCAGTGCAGTGTCGTAGTTTCAGTTTTTTTTCGAGTAGAGCAGTTGGCATGTTTTTAATAAACTGCCGACTCGGCGGCTCATTATACCAAAGTGCCGATTAAAGTTAGAGAAGGAGGACGTCAAATCAGTCCAAAGATATAATGATTTTTATTTTTTACATAAGTGACCGTATAGTAGACGTCTCTTTTTCTGAGTAACAACATATCAATGATTTTATAAAAGACGTATTTATATTTTATGACGCACCGACTTTGGAATAATTAAACTTCTCCTCCCAATAACACCACTGGGAAGGCGCGGATCCAGGGGGCGGTAGGGGCGCCCCTCCTCCCGTCAGCCGTATCAAAATGTGTTGTATCTAATTTGTTATACTATTAAATTACATTATTTTGTGTTATACCATTCTAATGTATTGTTAATTATTATTGTCACAAATTTTCATCTTTTATTTTTATAACATAAATATATGAAGTGTCGATAACAACAATATTATTGCGACCGTACGAGCGAAGACAACCACCAGCCGGCCAGCCCAACCGACTCATAGAGTTTTGTTCTAAAAATAGTATGAGATTCCATGTTTATTTTATTCATTTTATATGATATTAAAATCTTCCTTATTCCTGATTGCCTGAAATATACATATTTATAATACAGATATCAGTTTATTTCTAGCAGTACCTATAATAGTAATAATTGTTGTGTTGACTGTTGACATTAGATTAGACACTCTTTAGTCTTTAGTTTGACAACTGTAGATATATACGCGTACTTGTATTACGTATAATTTCCTTAGTAATCGAAATTATATTTCTCGTAATACGCCGTTAAAAGTGACCGCGATTTATTCTTTTAATTTAATTGGTGACGTTTGTATTATAGTTGTAAGTTGTTATACTGTAATTATTTCATTTTATTCGTTTATTGAACAAAAACATAATGTCTAAGAGGAAAAATGTCAATATTACACATTTTTAAAAAAAAAAGTGCAACTTGTGCAAGTACTGTGGAAAATGATGATCAAACAACTGAGGAAAATAAAAATCGAATTGCAGTGGATTCAAGTGAGTCGTCTTTACCACCCAAAAAAAGTATTCATTATAAATTTATAAATAATCAGGAATTGCATTATGTACTATTGCATTTATAACTATATATATATATATAATAATAATAATAATATAATATAATATACTCGTATTTAGCAGTAGGTATCTAAATATGTATACTTATTTATAATCCCCCCCCGTTCGTTAAGGTAGGCTGGATCCGCGCCTGCCACTGGGGCAATAACCGAAAATTGTCCATTTATAGGCAACATAAATATGTGGATATTTGTTGATCTAGCTCTGATAAAAATTTTACATTTTTATAATTATCGATCAAATGGAAAACCCAATCCGATGATTCCGTATTTATGAGTTGGAAATATAATTGAGTTCTACTAAAAATCTTCTACGTACAAATACACATAACCGGCTAAATCCCTACCAGTGGCAGATCTAGGATTTAATTTTTGGAAGTTATTTCTTCATTCACAGTTATAATACTTGTGCCATTAAATTTTGTTAATAGTATTAACTTTGTTTTTTAAAAACCTTTGAACTTAAATGTCATTTAGATCAAATGTAATCCCCCTACTCCGATTCTTTCACTCACTCAGTTACACACTAAATTAATTACCTATATTTACTATTGAATTCCTATAACCTAACTAAAGCCAATGGGGGACTTAGGCCCTTCAACCCTCCTTATATCCACCACTGATCTCTATAATTTAACATATTGTCGAAGTATGTATTATAAGTTGTTGAAACCGATGTAGAGTTCAAATGTTAAAAAAATAAATTTGGTGTACTGAAAAAGAAGTTAAATAATGTTTTACATTGTATACCGACAATTTTTAAGAGCTATAAATCGGTTCTACTAATTACTAAGTCTTAATAATGTGGTATCTCGATGTTTTTCGAATTAAATCGCCACGAAGTGTTGTATTTACGATAATTATACATATTTCGGTAAAATATTTTTAAACGTACATTCGTCTATATACGTATAGGAAACCACCCTTATTCACCCAGAGCCAACCGCTGGGTCTAGAGACTTGAAATTTTATACAGAGGTTCCTTAAGCAATGTAGGGCACACCAAGAAAGGATTTTTCAAAATTTGACCTCAAAGGGAGTAAAAGGGGGGTTTTTAAAAATGTGTATACATTTTATATAGCTATATATATATTTTTTTCCGACTGTTAATCTCTGATTACCGGTGTATAAATAATGCTAATAGTACGTGGAATTCACAATTTAATATTAATAATTATAAATTATATCAATTATATAAAACCAGTCGCAGGTAATCAGCTAACACGATTTCAACACATAATAGATACCGGCGGTAAACGGTCAAAGTACAAAGATAATGTGAAATGGTGAAAACGTTCATTTAATAGGTTTGTTCGTTTAAGAAAAAAAAAGTGTACACTAATTAGTATAGTGTCTGGGTGAAGTGTAAGAGGTATGATCAGATATCCGTCTTCAAAATACGGTTTTGGTGTAGATTAATTAGCTGATCTTTTTTTATTAATTTTAATAATTGATAATTAGTTATTTCTATTGATAGTAGAATTGAACAATAGTTTAGTAAACTTTTTGTATAATATTTAATATTAATAATTAACAATTATAATATTAAAAGAAAGAAAAATACAAAAATTGTACGTGATGGAGTTTTGTGACTTTTGTGATGAAGAAATATTTTTAGAGTTGTGGAATCCTATCAAAATCCCAGCAGTTGTATATGTAAACGATGACGACGATGATGGTTGTTTAAATTATTTTTATATATTATTTGTAATTAAATATATATAAATATAATAAAATAATATATATAATAATAATATTATATAATATATATATATAATAATATCATATATTATATATATTTTATGATTTTTATAACTCAACCACAGTATTTGTGAGTCCAAATACTATAAACGATTATAATAGTTAGTATTTGGTATTTAGTATTTGGTGAGTCGTGTTTCGATATATATTTGAAATTGCAGATTAAACTATTAGCTGATTTAGCTTAATTTGCTAAATAATTTAATAATAATTAATTTAATAATTTAATTAATAATTTAATAGCTTAATTTGATAACAATCAACGCTACACTATAAACGCTGTGCCCACACTTACACTTGGGTCAGTGTAAAAAAAGTGTACACTAATGTTACACTTTTTTAAAACAAACAGCGTGTAAGACTACACTTTTTGACAAAAAAAACAAACCTAATGTCGATCGTCGGCCCTACCTCCTTCACCGTTCAGCCGCCATCGTCCGCCACCGAGTCGCCGCTACCGTCTGACGTATTTCACATTCATTGCACTTTGGAGCTGTTAAACACTTATTTATTCGAATACGCTTTGAAAACCGTTTGATCAACGTGAGCTTCATTCATTATTAACGCATCTTAACATATTGAGTTTGGCAAGTTATTTTCATACAGTATACGAATTACAAACCGCATGCGTCTATTTGAAATGGTGTTCAAAAGTAAATTTTGATTACCAAATCAGACAGTAAACTGTTGTGTTTATAAAACGAAAAATATTTTAAATCTTTAATTATGTAAAAGGTGTTGTGGTTAATTTTAAATTGTTTTGGTTAATCATTTGCAACAGCGAGTGACCTGTAAACGTATTATTGTCGCAAACGCCTTGAAAACCGTTAGGTCAACGTTAGCATTTTATGACATTAAATTCGGTTTGTTATTTTCGAGATGAACATTTGGTTAACTTTTCTAAAATTAATTTCTTAGATGACTATGAAAGGATTCACTGGCAAAACACAAAAAATCTGGAGAAGTTT